AAAAAAAAAGAAAAAAAAAAAAAAAAAAAAAAAACGGACTCAAGAAAAGCAACTAGAGAAAGATTGAAAATGAACAAGTTCTGACTTTTTCAAACCCTTCGGTTTTTCAGTGGCCACCCTGTATAACACACACATGAATTTGAACAGCGCGATCGCGCTGCGTGGCGCTGAAACGGTAAAGCCGCTTTCGATAATTTTTACTTCGCTGTTCGGTTAATCCATGATGGATCGAGCAGCGGCTCCCCCGTGCAGAATTCCGCGAAACGAGATCACCGAGCTTTGGGTAGAAGTATGCGCGGAATGAGAGTCGTGACTCCGACATCTCGAAAGATAGCCCGGACCTCGCGTTCTTGTTCGTTTTCGTTCCGGGACAGCACGAGGCACGAGGCGTTCATTACCGGTCCTGAACGAGCTCGTGACACGTCACGAGCGTATCTCAATGTGAAGTTCGCTGGCACGATCGAGGGCGAATTCTCGCGGACTTTCACCGCGGCGAAGGACGGGCCATCGCAGGCGAGCACTCGCGACTTATGGTTAGCACCATTGTTGCGCCTCGCGGAACGATTGTCGGTCACGCCGTTCAGAAAACGAACGCCGCCGGTTTCGTAAAAATTTATTTCCCCCTTGCCTTCTTTGTCAGCCCGTACGGCTGGAAGCGGTTCCGAGAAAGGAATGCGCCGCGCGAGAAATGCTCACGTAGGTACAACTTTGGAGATCTTTGAAGATCTCAGGTTGCCTAATTAAACTGTTAACTGGATATTTCCTTGACCCGTTGAGAAGTTGCGTTAACACGCGCTCGTTTGTGACCTTCTTCCCGTTATCGTCGGTTTCTATCGTCAAGTTCTGTCGAATTCACGTGGAACAGTCCGCGCGAGGAGTCGAACGACTCATTTTGAAACGGAATCTGTCTCCTGGTAACATTCTGACAAGAGTCTAGAGTGTCTCTCTTTTTTCTTTCTTTTTTTAACTCTAATCTCTCAAAAGGAAAATTACAACGTTAAATTTTTAAGAGAATTTTGCACACTTTAGAGTAAATTTTTAACAGCTGTACATGTAATCGAATTGCAATAGATTGAGAAAGATTTTTTATTACAATAATTCCTTACTGTCATTCCAAATATTCCACTGTCCAGTAGAAAGAAATAGAAGAAGCTCGTCTTGACGATGAAAATGCAATTTTAATATGCGATTACTTCAATACATCGATAGATGACGGCGCTCGTAATGAACCTGGTTAATAAGTAAATGGCGGATTTTTATGCACTAAAAACACAATTGAAGAAATAGAATCTAAATTTGTTTCATCATTGTATGTATCGTAATAAATACTCTACTTTCATTTTCTCTTATCACGCACGTTTACGTGCGTTTTCTTGCACCTGCAGATTTGCATAAAAATCCGCAATCAATTAACCACTTGCGCTGGCAACTGATTGCGGACCATAACGAGTGACCGAAACCCGTATACAATAATTCGTCGCTTTCTTTTTCTTCTGAACTCGTCGGTACGATATCATTGGATAGAAATTATCGAGAAGTAATAAATTTATTATTTGCTTTACCTGTTTTGTTTTACTTGAATATACTTAGAACTGAGAATATATTGCAATTCTCAAAAAAAAAGAGGTTAACCGCTTGCGCTGGCAACTGATTGCGGACCATAACGAGTGACCGAACCGTAGTAATTAGTCGCTTTCTTTTCGAACTCGTCGGTACGATATCACTAGATAGAAATTATCGTGAAGTAATAATACTAGATAAATAATACTATAATATATAATGTAATATATAATACTATATAAATAATATTATAATACTGATATAAAATATTTAAAACTAAGAAAACATTGCAAATTTGGGACAAAAAAATTTTCGAAATGCGTGGCACGTCATTCCAACACAATAGGTTAATAAAGTTAAACCATTCTGTAATGGATGCCTAACCTAACCTAACTTAAATTGTTTTAAAACCTATTACTTACATAAAAGCCATTAAGAAATTACTATTGCGTTATTATTTTGTATACTGTTTATAAAATAATAAAAGCAATATTCAGCTACTATTCCTTTCTTAAAGTTTTTCAATTTTTAATATATTTTAATTTAGTAGGTACTAAATTTAACTTAGCTTGTTAACAGTATCTTAAAAAGTAAATTTTAAAGGCGCCTTTAAATTTTAAATGTGCCAACACTGGTCAAAGGGATAACCTATTAATTGGAATAGGCGATTCATTAACCCCTTGCGCTGGCAAACTGATTGCGGACCATAACGAGTGACCAGAACCGTCTACAATAATTCGTCGCTTTCCTTATCGTACTCGACAGTACGATATCACCGGATAGAAATGATTGAGAAATAATAAATTTATTATTTGTTTTGCCTGGGTTATACTCAAATATATTCAAAACTGAAAGGAAATATTGCAATTTTGGGAGAAAAAATTCTCGACGTCCGTGGCACGTCATTCCAGCGCAAGATGTTAATAATAAGTCAACAACAAACGAGTGACACGTCTTTGCTCACCTGCTTGGAGATGTTCGGCGGGGGCCTCGGAGAAGTTTGCGTTGCGGTCCGCGTCCTCTATCTCGTCATTCCGCGCTGAAATCAAGAGAACACGAGATGGGAATCAGACGAGAGAGAGAGATTGCAAAACGGTTGCTCGCGCGGGTCGAACTCGAGTTTCTCTGCGGATTTTTCAGCCGCGATTGCGAACTTTGTTTTCCTCCGAATCGTTGTGAATGACGTTTCAATCAAGAAAAATTACCGAGCGCGGCACTCGAGCTGGTCAAACGAAAAACTCGGCGCGCAACAAGCGATGACCGGTGACAATCGGAATCGCGAGGTACATACGTACGTACGTAGAGTATGTATTAGCCGGCGGCTAGTGGACACAGCTGCACGGTTGACACTAGTTGACCCGTCGTTTATTAAACATTAGATACACGGAGAGTTGAACAGACGTACGCCACCCATCCGACGTGTATCCGATGTGCGTTCAAGCATGTGCGTTACGTGCATGTTCCAACAAGTGGAGAGAGGCTAAGGTTTTTTCCATTTTTTTTGCAATGCGGTGTCTATACGGACGAGATTTACCGAGAGCAAAAATTCGCGGTGCCTACTCGCAATGAGCAATTTTGAACCAGTTGAGATGTTGTTTCAATACCCTAAGGCTCAAAGAAAATTTGTGTATATACATATATATATATATAATTTGTAATATATAAAAAATATATAAAATTATATAAAATATAAAAAATTTGTAATATATGTGTGTGTAATATATATACATATATACATGCATAATTTGTACAATACGTATGAATTATATATATATACGTAATTTACAAATTATTTATTTTGTATAATTTTTACAAATTTGTAAAATAAATGTGAATAATATATATATATACAATACATATATATATATTAATATTAATATATAATTTATATATATAATAAATATGAATAATATACACATATATATAAAATATGTACGAATAATTATGTATGCATACATATTGTAATTATACACACACACATATATATATATACGTGTAATTTGTAAAATATTAAAAATTTGTAATATTGTGTGTGTAAATATTTAAAATTTGCAATATCGTGTGTGTAAATATGTAAAACTTGTAATATTGTATTTGTAATAAATTTGTAATTTGTGTGTGCACGTGTGTATATAGAATTTGTGTATACGTATACATGCGTGTGTTGTACGAAACATTTTAACATTTCATTATCGGCATAATGAGACACGACTGTCTCCGTACGGAGACGACGACGCACGACACGAGGTAAGTCTCATCGCGCTGCGATTGCTTGACATGTAGTTACTTTCAGAATGGAGTGCCAGTGTATTTCCGTGTGCAGGACGTCGTTACACAGATTCAGCAATAAACGGAATACGCGGAAGACCAAACTCGACCGGAGTTTCTTGTTCCTACTTGCGACCTTGATCGTTTAATGAACGTTGCCCGCGCAGATCCATATCTCGAGAGACGGCGGCGCACGTCCACAGGACTCTGCCTCCCCCTTTTCAAACCCAACACGACGTTAACAAACCTTTTAACAAACGTTAACAAACCGCTATTAATTAATCTCGAAGATCGGCGGGTGCTCTCGTTTCGAAAGCATTCAGGCGCTGAAAGTGAATTTCATTTGCCTTAAACTTCTGTTTACGTCGTAAGTAGATTCGATAAATTGCGGTTCTATTCCAATACAGGTCTCGATGAATGGTCTTTAGGTCTCCAGGTTTTTTTTTTTTTCTAATGAGAACCATCTGCTGCGGAATGTGTGACGATGCTCTCAAATCTTTTACAGCTGAATTAACAGGGAAAACAGAAATGTCAGTTTTAATTGCGAGCGCAAGCGACACGGAGAGCACAACCGGATATCTTTGGCACGGCCTTGAAACTTCAAACGAGAGATGATTGGTGAAATTACAGCGAGGGCGGTGTCGAATGGACGGCGAGGAATTTCCGCTAGCGACCGGAGACGCGGTGACGCGCATTCTTCGACTTGTGAGTAAGGAATAATGTATTTTTTCTTTTTTGCGATGCAAGCAGATTCGAGGCAAGCGATATACATATATATATATCGTCCGCTTTACGATTTCTCGCGGATGAATACGCGAAGCCGCGATAGCGCGGCGATTTACGATCGATGCCAACGCGTGGCCTAATCGACCGTTTCAATTTTACGGGCAATTTGATACTCGAGCAAGTTGTCAAGAATTTAGATCGCGTCTATACGAAGAAAGGTTTGAAATTTGGAAATTTCGTTCGATCTCTGTCGATCATTATGACTTGAACCTACCACTAACGTGTTTTAACCACTCGCGCTGGCAACTGATTGCGGACCGTAACGAGTGACCAAATCGTATACAATAATTCGTCGTTTTCTCTTTCTTTCGATAGAAATTATTAAGAACTAATAAACTTATCATTTCTTTCGCCTTACATTTAAATACACATAAAACTGAGAGCTATTCAACGTGTCGGTTATTCTATTTTATTCTCATATGAGAGATATTATGATAACTGGTTATGAGCAAACCTACAATTATCAATTTCGTATTTCACGTAAAATTGTTACATCCAATTGATATATTAGAAAATCGCTAGAAAATGACGGAACGTCTCTCAATCTTAACCGCTTGCGCTGGCAACTGATTGCGGACCGTAACGAGCGACCGAACCATATACAATAATTCGTCGTTTTCTCTTTCTTTCGATAGAAATTATTAAGAACGAATAAACTTATCATTTCTTTCGCCTTACATTTAAATACACATAAAACTGAGAGCTGTTCAATTTTATTCTCATATGAGAGATATTATGATAAATGGTTATGGGCAAACCTACAATTATCAATTTCGTATTTCACGTAAAATTGTTACATCCAATTGATATATTAGAAAATCGCTAGAAAATGACGGAACGTCTCTCAATCTTAACCGCTTGCGCTGGCAACTGATTGCGGACCGTAACGAGCGACCGAACCATATACAATAATTCGTCGTTTTCTCTTTCTTTCGATAGAAATTATTAAGAACGAATAAACTTATCATTTCTTTCGCCTTACATTTAAATACACATAAAACTGAGAGCTGTTCAATTTTATTCTCATATGAGAGATATTATGATAAATGGTTATGGGCAAACCTACAATTATCAATTTCGTATTTCACGTAAAATTGTTACATCCAATTGATATATTAGAAAATCACTAGAAAATGACGGAACGTCTCTCAATCTTAACCGCTTGCGCTGGCAACTGATTGCGGACCGTAACGAGCGACCGAACCATATACAATAATTCGTCGTTTTCTCTTTCTTTCGATAGAAATTATTAAGAACGAATAAACTTATCATTTCTTTCGCCTTACATTTAAATACACATAAAACTGAGAGCTGTTCAATTTTATTCTCATATGAGAGATATTATGATAAATGGTTATGGGCAAACCTACAATTATCAATTTCGTATTTCACGTAAAATTGTTACATCCAATTGATATATTAGAAAATCACTAGAAAATGACGGAACGTCTCTCAATCTTAACCGCTTGCGCTGGCAACTGATTGCGGACCGTAACGAGTGACCAAATCGTATACAATAATTCGTCGCTTCCTTTTTCTTTTGAACTAGTCGGTATAATATCTCTGGATAGAAATTATTGACAAGTAACAAATTTATTATCTGTTTCGTCAATTTTGTTTTACCGAAATATATTTAAAACTGAGAAAAATATTACAACTTTGGGGCAAAGAACTCTCGACGTGCGTGGCACGTCATTCCAGCTCAAGAGGTTGAGCATTCATATCCCAATCCTAATCAATACCTCAAACAATTATATTTTTCGTTTCGTTTAGTATTATCTCGTCACACTCCAAAAGCACATTGCAACAGGTTCCACCGTAGTGTGTTAGTGTTTGAGGCGACGATTGAGACGAGCATTTTTCAGGGGACATTTTTCAACGGCGATCGAACGGGGAAGAGGAGCTCGACGAAAGGCCCGGCGGGAAGTTGACATTAAGGGTTCCGAGACCGAGAGAGGACCCGAGCCAGTAAACAGGAGAAAGGGAATAGGAACGAGAGAGAAAGAGAGCGAAACAGTCCGGGATTGGTAAACAGGAAGAGGACGAGGCTGGCCAGGAAATGGGAGTGAGCGAGAGGGAGACGGCAGGGAGGAGGGGGTGCTGGGAGATGTGGAAAGAGAGAAAAGAGAGCAAGGAAAAAGAAGAAGAGTGGTTCTCCTCTCCGGTCTAAGAGGTTGGGAGCGGGTGGCCTTGAGCAGGTCATCACCTCCGGCTGCAGTGCTGATGCTGCCCGCGCTGGACTATCTTAACTTCTTCTTCTTCTTCTTCTTCTTCTTCTCCTCCTGTTCCTCCTTGTTCTTCTTCTTCTACTTGCTTCTCTCGAACTCTCCTCTTCTCTTTTAGCTATCTCCTCTTCTTAGCCAACCTTCTCTCCTCCTGTAGCTCGCTTCGTCTCCTTCTTCTTTCTCACCGTTTCTATCGCCCTCTCTGTCTCCCCTCTTGCTCTTCCTTTTCATCCTCCACTCTCATTCCTTTTCTCTCCCTTTCTCCTGCTCTTTCGTTCACCGTCCACCCTGTGCATGCTCTTTACATTTTTCCACGAAGCCCCGCTGCACGGGAACAATCCGTCCGAGCCAACTCCGAGCGGAGGCCGGAGCGAATTGTTGGCAAGATGACGACGGTGTGAGAATTTTCTGCAATTCCAGGTAGTTTCCTTTTCACAAACTTTTGAAACTCTCTCTCTTCAGCTGATTTCACGAACTTCACAAACGTGTAACGCAACGTTCCCGTTTCCAAAATGTTTCCACGTCATTTTCGGTTTCGAATAATCTTCGTTCGCCTTTCATCGTTCATAGAAATTCTCGCACGTTTCATTCCATTTGGCAAACAAGACCACGCTGTTCAGTTGGATTTCTGTTTCAGTCTATCTCGCTGTGCGCTATCTTGCTTGCGTCGAACCCCGCAAATTGTTGAGCGTAGCGACTGTACTTGTCTCTCTCTCTCTCTTTTGTGCCGTGGCAGGGGGATCGCGTAAATTGAGTTTGACAAAGTGGATCATCTGGGCCGGAGCCATTCAAAGACGTAATAACACCGGACGCGTGGCCGTGCGGTCTGCAGCCACGTTAAAAATTAGACATCACGCGAGCACACAGCCTTCTATACGAACCGATCCGACATCTGCCACCGGTCGAACTTTAAACAGTCTTGCTCGTCTCCAAGTATCTATCTCGCCTCGTTGCCATTCAAAACGCGATCATTTACCCCGACTAATTGCCAGTGCACGGCCCGATTTCGTGCCTGGCCGATTGAACGTGGAAGCGTTCAGGGAATCACGCAAATCGAGTTTGACAAAGTGGATCGTCCGCACCGCCTCTGAAGCGTAATGGTCGACGCGTGGCGGTGTCAGGGCCTCTGCATGGTATAAACCTGCCGGATGGGACGAAATCGTTCCGGTAAAAATCGAACGCGACCGGTGGACCGGTCTCCGGACTCGGTGCATCGAGCTAAGTGAATGAGAAAGATAAACATAATAATTACGGCAAATTGCTGGCTGCCGCTGAAAACGGCATCCATGGCAGGCCGTGGGGCAAACAAAAGAGAGAGAGAGAGAGAGAGAGAGAGAGAGAAAGAGTGAAGAACTCTCTCAGGGCACCGCGCTAAGTATCAACGCCCCATTGTACGCTGCCCAATGAAATCAAAGTAGCTTAAATCGATGTATCGCGAGACTCGTGCAGCACCTCTTAACCTTTTGCGTTGATATGACGCTGGTGCCACGCACGTGGAGAACATTTTGTCCCAACATTTTCTCAGTTTTGAGTATATTTCAATGTAATCCAGGCGAAACCGAATGACAAGTTTATTGTATCGCAGGCAAAAACAAATGATAATAGGTTCATCACTTCTTAATAATTTCTATCGAGTGATATCATACCGACGAGTTCAAAAGAAGAAGAAACGAAGACGAATTATTTTACACGGCTCGGTCACTCGTTATGGTCCGCGAATCAGTTGCCAGCGCAAGGGGTTAACTTTTTGGGGTTGGGTAATAAATATAGGTATAAATAAATTAGTAATACCTGATTTATATATATTTATTACATATATATAATAAATAATATAATAATATTATAATAAATAATAATAAATTAGGTATTACTCTGTAATAAAGAATTAATTTATTACTTCTTAATAATTTTTATCCAGTAGTATACCGACGAGTTCAGAAAGAAAGCAACGAATTATTGTGTACGATTTGGTCACTCGTTATGATCCGCAATCAGTTGCCAGTGCAAGTTAGGTAATAAAGGTCTAAATAAATTAGTAATACCTGATTTATATACATTTATTATATATATATAATAAATTATATATATAATAAATAATATAATAATATTATAATAAATAATAATAAATTAGGTATTACTCTGTAGTAAAGAATTAATTTATTACTTCTTAATAATTTTTATCCAGTAGTATACCGACGAGTTCAGAAAGAAAGCAACGAATTATTGTGTACGATTTGGTCACTCGTTATGATCCGCAATCAATTGCCAGTGCAAGTTGGGTAATAAAGGTCTAAATAAATTAGTAATACCTGATTTATATACATTTATTATATATATATATAATAAATTATATATATAATAAATAATATAATAATATTATAATAAATAACAATAAATTAGGTACTACTCTGTAAAGAATTAATGTATTACTTCTTAATAATTTGTATCCAATGATATCATACCGACGAGTTTCAAGAAAAAAGCGACGAATTATTGTGTACGATTTGGTCACTCGTTCTGGTCCGCAATCAGCAGCGTAAGTGGTTAAAGAATAACTTGCCCGCCAAGACCCCTTTCTAATGAACTTTCACTATAATCAACATTGAACTGGTACCATAATAGACTGTTTATCTTTTAACTGCGTACTTCGAATTTTAATATCTCCATCTGAAGCCAAAATGGAGTAAGATTTTATTTATTAAAATAAGAAAGATTTTCTCTGAGAATTATTTTAGAGAAAATCTTATATTATAGAAAATATCGTCTCGTTAATCTTAACCACCAAAATGAATTATATTTCGACAGTGATGATGTGAAATATTAGTATAGACTATAGTATACAGCTGCAATTTTAGAATATTCTGAAAAGGAGGAGAAGATAGTCGAAAAGAACAGCGGTCAACACTCTGTTAGTCCCAATGCTTGCTCTGGATTCGAACCAAAATTGTAATATTTTCTCAGTTTCAAGTACATTTAAGTAAAACAAATAATAAACTTGTTACTTCTCGATAATTTCTATCCAGCGATATTGTACCGACGAGTTCAAAAAAAGAAAGCGACGAATTATTGTATACGGGTTTGGTCACTCGTTATGGTCCGCAATTGGTTCAAGCAGACTTACGTGGCAACCTCGAGGGGATTCGTCATTCGAATTGTCACGATGAGAGCCTGCATCCGCTTACTTCGTTTGGTAAATAGAAAAAGTTGCCGCACGGTTGAAAATTAGAATTGGAAGAATTTGAAATAATGTACGATTCAGGTAACTGGAATTGGCAGCGCCGGCGTCAACGGCGTTAAAGTACGCGAGCGTGAGTGATTCACTTCTCGGTTGATGCTCTTTCAACAAAACTAACAAAATTTCTTGGCAGAGGAGCGGCTGATCGGGAGTGCTTTGCTCGTCGCGTGGGTCGATATACTGTTGAAACGCCGGTACAGAGCAAACAGTTTCGATAACAAACGTGCCCACTTCCGCGAGCTTGTTTGCAATCGAGTAATGGTTCGGGAGAGCTTGCACAGAGAGAGAGAGAGATACCTGTTACATTCCCCCTGTAACCGTGGTCGAATATTCGCGACATATAATTTCCCTTGGGTTCGAGCCCAAGTTGAAAGCGTGCGTTAATGCACGACGTCGCGTGGGACTCTTTAATCGTAAACCCGTTTACGGGTGTAGCGTGCAAGTCGTGCACAAGCGTTAGATATTCTGGTAAAAGCTGGTGTATTACGAGCTCGTGACATACGTATCAAGTTCTCTCAATTATATCAGCTCGTCATTAATAATAAGAATTCAATTAACAATTCTTTGAATCGGTAAGCTGCCTGTGATTGTCAACATACTGAATTTTAAAACTGCTTAACTCGTAAGTTCTTCGAACGTAAAACGCGGTCGTTAACGATTTCCAATCGCAGACAGACAGTCGGTCGATTAAGCTCGCGTGTTGCTGTTAGACTTGGTTTACAGAGCTCGGGATAGAGCATCGTTGTAAATTATCGCGTTGCAGGCGTGCGTTACAACGCTTCCGAAATCCATGGTCGAATCTATTCACGCCCCGAGGTAATCGCGGCGGATTGGAACGGCTTGAACGGGTGTGCGCGCGTGCACGCGATACACACACCCAGCCCCTCGCTACCCCGGTGAAATAATAAACGCTCTCACGATCGTTCGCGCGGCTAACAGAGTGTATCTCGCGAGTTTAATAGCAAGCAACGAGTAGTTGGCGCCTGCCCGATAAACCAACCGACCGACCAACCTCCGCCACCGATCGAACACATCGCCGGGTGTCGTGCGGAAATTTAATACAAGACCGTGTACGCATGCAACACGCCCGGAGATGTATTCGATGAATGAGCTAATTGTGCCTTCCACGTCGCGGATTCTACACGATGTGATCGATCGAAAGCAGTATTACCGCCACGTTTGTTGCGCGTTTGTTTTCTATGCGTTATCTATGAATTCACGATAGCGAATGACAATTTTCGAAAAGAATTATTACATTTGAAAAATGTAATACCTTTAAAATACGTATGTACTTCCGTGTCTGCACTGCGATATCAGATCTGATCGATGATTGATCACACGCAGCGTTATCACACTGCATGATTGGCGGCATTGCCTTTGAGTTAACTCGCGAGAAGGTCGCTTTATATCTCTCGTTTGCCATTGCTATGCGTCATCATCCTCTGTTCCATCGATGCTTGCGTTAATCTCTTTGTGATCGTCGGTCGTAAAATCGATCGTACTTGAATCGCCACTTGGTATTATCTCGGAACACGCTGTAGAGAATTATAATACCAGGGATAATGTTTTTTGCTACTTAATCCCGATGTGCTTGAATTTCTTTGCATTTGTCTTTTTCGTTCATAAAGGGGTTATTGTTTGCGGCGCGGTTATAAATAGCGTGGCAAACGCTATATAGTTGCTACTGCTACGATGATAGCAGAACGAAATTCTCGTGAAGCGAAATACATCACGTATCGCGTGGCGCGATAACCTTTGTGGGTAAAACGAAAGAAATCACGAGAGAGGATATGATGGGCGTTCGAAACTTCAGCGAAGCCACAATCGCGCGTGCGTCTGATTTCTCGAAGAGACGGCAAATAGTTCGAGGCAGGTGTACCCCATCTGCAGTGTCAGCTGCCAGCGACCGAAGCCCTTGGCACAGTCTACCCTTGAGGTTCGAAAAATATCCCGTGCATGCGCGAGCGAGCAGGCAAACGATCGGGCGGCAGCTGTTGCGCTTTTCTGTGGGTGGTAAGTGAAAGTGTAGCCTCGACGTCACCGCGGGCGACAAATTGAATTTTTGTAACCGCATCCCTCGGCAAATCTGCTTAACGAAAATCTGAGCCGACTTTCCGGCTGCTTTTATTCGCTCGATTTTTATTTTGTTTTTCCCTTTTTCCCTCACTTCCTTCGTGAAACGATCTATATATAAATCGGATGCGAACGTAGAGATCAGTCGACTCGAGACCTCAACTACAAGGAACGAGCGAGAGGAATTTTTGTGAAAGTGAGAATTAGTATGAATGACGCACGACGATGTGGGAAAACCGAATGAATGTTTATGTTTGTCAATGCGATTCCGCGAGAATCCGCATGGACGTTTAATGCGCATAATGTCACGTAAAAGAGTGTTAACCGGGCGTGACAGGAATGTGTGCTGCACGTGTGAAAGATCTTTGATCCTTTCTGTTTATTTAAAATTAGCAGAAGAAGATTCAGAACGAAACGGAACTTGTGTACAAGTCAACGTTCTTACAATCTATAGTTGGAGCATCTTGCAACAGACCCTTTTTCCGTCTCAAGGCGAGCCTTTTCGTCGATCTGGACTAAAGGAAGCACCCAGGGGAGAAATCTTTTTTTATCCATGAAGCTGCACGCTGTGGGTCTTTCTCTCTCTTTAATGTTCCGCATCCTGCTGTTGGAAGTATAGTCTCGTCAAACACTGAATCGTAAATTTCCAAATTTGGCAGTTGCGAGGCAATAGTGAATAGCTAGCTTGAAAGTGGTTTTTTCCTGAATGTTTTATTTAGCACGGTACCGCGGTGACGCGATCGACTCGTGACTCAGTTTCGAATGATTCGTCGATTGTTAATGATTCAGACTTCGAGATGCTTTTGACATTCTAATTCACTGTTGGAAATTAACGACACCAGCAGTTGTTCGATCGTACATTTTGCGAGCCTCGAGGTCAAATTGTTTCGCGGTTACGCCATCGGTACAAGTAGTACAGACTGTTCCCATTAGCTCTGTTGGTTTAGTAGCCAGAAGAAATCGTCGGAGAAATGTTCTTTCCCCATAGAGATTACCTCCTCTATTTAACCAATCGTCGAAACGAAACGAACTGCGATCTCTCGTCCGACGTTATTAGCAAAGAGTTCCTAATGTAATTCGCGCGAGGTGTGAGCACGGCCAGTTGAATAAATACAGGGAAATCGAGATGATGCCAAGGAAGTAAATATTTAAATACCTTTCAGCCATGAATCGAACGGTTCCTGTCGAACATTTGCTAGCTGCGGTTGGTAGAACAGTGTCAGGATTCCTTCGGATCCAGTCGTTGTTTTAATATCTCCTTGGCTGATTCACGATCCTCGAAGCACTAAGACTCTTGACGAGGAGCCTTCCAAGCACTTTGGAAACCGAGTGTTACGCACACAACGGAGAAGTGTGTTCGCAGCCACGATCTAACCACGATCTCCGTCTTTACGATTCGTACGTACTGTCAACTTTTCGCAATTTGTTCGTGTCAATATTTCCGAGTCGTATGCTTTGAGCGGAGTACAGCCTCTGTTTACAGTTCGAGGATTTCAGACCTGAAGACTAATGAAATTTCATTAGCGTAGAGATATTCGTAAACCGTCTCGAAGACTCGCGGCAAATGATAAACGATAGCGATGATAAAGTACGAATAATTGACGCAAAACAACGAGGTAACAAACAACGACGAAAGAGGGGAAACAGGGGAACGCGCGTTAGACGCGAAACTGGTTGGGCGAAATATTTTGACAAGTGTAGAGAGAGGCGAGTTGCGAGGCAGACCGGACGAAAGCCCTCGAAACGTTTTGACTCGGAGCGACGAGAAGAGACTGGCGAACGCCTTTCTGCCTCTGCTTGGGACATCGCTGGGCATCCCTTTCCACCAATGACGAGGCTTCCTTACTGGTCTCTCACGGAGAGACTGAGGTACCTTTACTCTTGATAGGTTACCTTCGAGTTAACTCGATAGGATCGTAAACGTGCGCGTGCATATAAATCACTCTTTCGATCTTGAAAGTCGCGAGGATTTTTGGATGAATCTCGGTAATGGAGTCGAACGAGATATAGCCACAATCCAGGAAGCGCGCAAGAAATGATCTCGGACCGATGCTACTGTGAATCTCTTTTTGCTTCGTTCCATTTCTCCTCTATTTATTCTAAAATAAAAACACTTTAAGTACTCCCAGAAACGCGTAAGTTTTGTTGTTCGAAGTCAATTTGCATTTAATGTTCAATAATACTCACGAGACTTTCAATTTCATTGTTCAACATTGTGTCGTGTGTATTTCTTCTAAAATAATAAAAACCCTTGTACTCTTGTTTATGAAAAATATGTTGGAAACATACAAGTTACAGTGCTCAAAGTTAATTTCCGTTTAATGTTCAATAATACTCACGAGACTTTCAATTTCATTGTTCAACATTGTGTTGTCTGTATTTATTCTAAAATAATAAAAACGCTTGTACTCTTGTTTATGAAAAATATGTTGGAAACATACAAGTTACAGTGCTCAAAGTTAATTTCCGTTTAATGTTCAATAATACTCACGAGACTTTCAATTTCATTGTTCAACATTTTATTCTAAAATAAAAACACTTGTACTCTTGTTTATGAAAAATATGTTGGAAACATACAAGTTACAGTGCTCAAAGTTAAAATCCGTTTAATGTTCAATAATACTTCCGATTCAACTGTTCGATTTGTGTAAGAGATTTGTATCTTAACCTATATTTAACATGTTTCCCCTTGTTGCTCTGTACGTGTACGATTTTGTGTGTGCTTGATTATAAAAAAAACTATAATTATAGTAGGAAATCTCGAGCGACGAGTAGAAAATTATTACGAGCCAAAAATTTAAATTTAAAACACGTTTAAAGATGGAACGTATCGGGTAACCAATAAACCGTAATGAATTGCAGTGGACGCGTCGCAAATACGTCACGTCGATCACGCGATGGTAATTATACAGCGAAGTCGTTGACGTGCGATGTTTAACACAAGTCAGAAGTTATAAAATTTACAAAAAGTATTTAACTTTTTTCACGTGCGAGTAATTACGAAAAAAATAAATATATCGCGAGAAATATGCACTCTTTTTATTGCGATAGGTTATTGTCCACGAACGAGAGCGCGAGATCGAACGTCGATAATTCGTTTCGATAGTCGAGAGACGGCGGGTACGCATAACGGTTCGCGCAGCTGAAAGAGGCTAATTTACAAGGTTATACGATCTTTCCGCGTGTTCGTTTATTAATCGCGCGTAACAGGCGACGGAGGCTTCCTTCTTCGCAAGAAATTTTCTTACCGGAGAGCCTCGATTGTATTCGCGATTTTCGAAGGAACGGTTATCTAACCTTACCGCAACTCGAGGGGCCAGCCATGTTGATTTTGACGTTGACAGTGCCGGTTAATGTTTTCGAGCGCTGATTTTCCCGCGAGTTTCCTTATCGTGCAGTGTCGCTGTCTCAAACGAAATACGTTCGTTTAACCTTACTAAATTCGGGGACAGGCAGCGCCACAACATTCGTGTCGACGTTTCGCCGCGGTTGTTCCGTGCAGATTTCATTGTGTGACGTGACAGAAGTGTAACTTACACATGCTGTGGAGGACGGTCGTTTAACCTAAAAGGGGCAAACTGAATCGCACAAATGCGTCCCGGGATTCGATAAGAATCTCTCGAGGTTCTCGAAAGAGCAATTTCGCACAGGGGGCATTTTCTACGGAGATGGAGGCCGAGTTCACGTACAAAAGACCATCGATAATGTATTATTCAATGACTGTGATTCCCGGGCCACGCGGACGAGGAATTTCGAGGAGTCTACATGCGTAACGACGTTTGTCACCCGGCTGGCATTGCGACGCGATACGTTTCACAGGTATGTGCATACACACGTAATACTTGAAATGTTTCACGCGTCGCGGGTTATAATTTCGCGTTGTCGATTCGCTCGTCTCATAAATGTTTCATGACGTTAGAATTGAATAGAATCGTCTTGCAACTGCGTTTCGGAGTGTCACCAAAGCGTTCGCCGATGACTAGCATGTTTCGAATGCGAATGTTTGATCGTTGTTCTGTACATCTATCGAATTATTCCTTCCTATGTAGCAGCTACCTACTTACGTAATCGCTAGATGTTCGTTGCTAAAACAGTAACTTTATTCGAACTGAAATTTAGCTCGAACAACCGAGGGTAAAATTGAAACAGAAATACTTTGCACTTGTTGAGTCGTAACCATAATCACGAGGGGCCAAGGGTAGACAATATGAGGCGTTAATTTTCAACAAACACAGCGACGAATATACAGAATGAGTAGAAAATGAGGGTTCATAGCTAGGATAGATAGTACTCGCATGTAAAAAAATTTTAATAAACACGAGTCAAAAAATTAATAGTTTCAAAGTTGTAAATGATTTTTTGCTTCTAATTCCACGCACGCTTAATACCTTTCCTATTAACCTTCTAAGGACAGGGTATTTATTTTCGGATATTATATAGGTGCCGATATATCGGATGTTAATTAAAAGATTAATCCCTTGCGCTGGCATCTGGTTCGCGGACCATAACGAGTGACCGAACCGTACACAACAACGTTCGTCGCTTTCCTTTTCTTTTGAACTCGTCGGCATGATGTTACTGGATGGAAATTATTAAGAAGTAATAAACTTATCATTTGTCTTGCCTGGATTACATTTAAATATACTTAAAACTGAGAAATTGTTGCAATTTTGGGACAAAAAATTCTCGACGTGCGTGGCACGTCATTCCAGCGCAAGAGGTTAAAAGAGTTACTCCTTCAAACATTCCCGGATGTGTTCTAATTTCTCTGCACTCAGCATTCTAACCGAAAAAAGAAAATCGTTTATAACTTTGAAACTATTAATTTTTCGAGGACTTTTTTTGTCATGTTTCGGCGAGAATTATCTATTCTAGATGTTACGAGCCCTTTTTCCCCCTATATTCACCCTGTATAAGTGATCGATCTGACTCGATCGATAACTGGCTTGCGCTCCAACACCATAACATCCGCTCGCAATTCCACAAGCTTTCTAAGAAGCGTTGAGAAGAATTCCGCGGGTAAAAAGCGTTTCGTTTCCGTTTGGCCGCGGAGCGAGTTCGCCACGTAACTTTCATCGAAACATTTCTCGGGTGTAATTAGCGAGCGAGAACCGGCGACCTTGTCCGGGCAAGATCTCGTTCACGTCCACGATTCCATCGATCGTCCCTCCCCAGGGTCACGAGTACGGACGATCTTGGTCTCGGTTTCTTGCGTCATGCACGTTTCCTTCGTTCGCGCGGATTCTTCGAATCTCTTAAGGGGGGGAACTCTTTCGATTTGCAAAGAGGACAACGACGCTTAACAGCGTCGAAAGGGGGAGAAGTGAGGGAGATTAGAAGCGCTCTCGGGTGGATTTGAGCGTCACTGACGAGCATTTCGCCATAAGGCGAAACTGGGAGTCGAATGGCCAGTAAAAAAGAAGTTGGCCGAACTTTCGGGGCTCATATTTCCTTCGAAGAGTTCGAGTCGTGACATTTGGGCTTGGTGTAGCACCTGCAAGCCACGCTTACCCATTTAACACTAGAACTGATCAAAACGATCAATTTATAATTTTTGTCAGATACCTTACTTATAGTGTATGTTTAAAGATTTAAATAATCCTTCGTAAAATATACAGATAAAAGTTTGTAACAGTCCATTGTATTGTAAGGTTTCTCCATTTTTTTTGACTTTAATGTCTGTGATGAAAATTTTTTCCTTTAATCGCCGACTGTTCTAGCGTTCTGCAGACATATTTTTTTTTCTATCTTTTATCTTTACTGTTTTCTTCTGAGACTTTAAATATCAAGTTGTTTCAAAACCTGTTTCTTTCGTTTTGTTAATGAATGATGCACGCACAGCGTTTTATGTTTTATGTCATGCTATTGAATCACGATCCTCTGGCCTTCCGAAAGCCTCGCAATGCCATTTCTAAAATTTCTAAGGTTCGCTAGTTAAATACTGCTGGAGATGCATTTACTGAGCTACGGAGGGGATTTCTTTCTCTATTATTCCTTTAAAATAATCTCTGTAGTAAAAACTTTTCATCTCGTCCCTCTTCGAGAAAATTTCGACATTGTGAAGCTTCCGGAGTGATGGAGGAAGATCAGAGATGGATCATAATCACAATTCGTAGAACATGAAACATTATTCAATCAAGCGAAAGAAATTGTTGGGACAACCAGGCTCGTTATCAATTCATATCCATTATACTCGCACGTTTCACGATCCAATTTACAAGATATTTACTTTACGAACGGGCGAACTCTTCCCCCGTGATCATTGTTTTATTATCGATGTTACCCGATGTATGAATATACATGTACGCCGCGATACGATGTCCGAACGTTTGGGAAAGGAGATGCAAAGTGCTTATTCGTGTTCCTCTTGCCCGCGTCGCGTCGTTACGAGCGCGAGGCTGCGAACAGGCGATTGAGTTTTCACGTTACGCGGTACGAATTACCGCTAGGCTGGTGTGTACTATTTGCATGCGCGACGCGCTGGTTGCTCTGATATCCCCGACAATGACGAACGTGACGCAAATGTTGGATGCGTGCTTGTAAAAGCCGGCTCGTTGTCACGCAGCGTCGTGCACACCGTGTTTAAATTGTATTGGGAGTTTCGTGGTTGTCGAACGGGGCCGCCTGAACAGGAAATAATCAGAGACGCGCTGGTTAACGGACTGGCGAATATGAATCGGCTGTTTTGGACATCTTCCATTTCTGGACGGACGCCACGTGAATGTTCAATTCTGGATATACTATACGAACGTCTGTCAATTGAATTTACACGTCTTGCAAAAATTTAGAGGTACCAAATTTAAAAGAGTACCACTGTTTGTCTAAAATAAGTTTCGATAGAGTAGTCGAACTGTGGACATTCGGACGAACTCCACGAAAATTATGTGATAAATTTCAGAACAAACATAGTGTTTAGACAGAGTTAAAAATTTTCGGCTCGAGGAGGATTTCAATTTTTTGTTTTGTGAGTGAAGTGATTGTTCTTTTTTTTAGTGCTCTCACATTCAAGAATCGTTTGTCATCACTAAGGCATATATATATATCTCAATTAATAGAACAAAAAAAAAAAAATATAAATAGTTATATATATATATATATATAGTAGTTAAAACAATTCAAACTTTATATATATTATATATTATATCAAACTTAAATATATAAATAGTTATATATATAGTAGTTAAAACTTTTTATAAACACGGTAAAAATTCCTA